TGGAGGCCTCTTGGGCCGTCTTGAGAGGTCGGAAACCCAAACAGGCGAGAACCTTCAAGTTCTTCAATGATACCAGAGAAAAACCCAATCATACTCTTCTTAAGGCTGTAGGGCTATAGGGCTACATGGCTATATGGGCTCTTGGGCGCTACATGGGCTATATGGCTATATGGGTTATAGGGCTATAGGGCGATAGGGATGTAGGGCTATAAGGCTATAGGGCTACAGGGCACCGGGCACCCGGGCACCCGGCACCCGGCACCCGGGCACCTACCCGGGCACCGGGCACCCGTCACCCGGGCACCCGGGCACCCGGGCATCTGGGCACCCGGGCACCCGGGCATCTGGGCACCCGGGCCCGGCCACCGCATCGGCGGCGAACCCGGGCACCCGGGCACCCGGGCACCCGGGCACCCAGGCCCGGCCACCGAATCGGCGGCGAACCCGGGCACCCGGGCATCCGGGCACCCGGGCACCCGGGCCCGGCCACCGAATCGGCGGCACAACTCACCTACCCTTAAATCCGCTAGGACCCCTACAGATGCAAGCTCTGATTGGGGAACAATGACACTGGACAAAACCCAATCAGATTTTTGTTAGAGCTATAGGGCTGTAGGGCTATAAAGCTATCAGGTTATGAGGCTATAGGGCTATTGGGCTATTGGGCTATTGGGCTATAAGGCTATAGGGCTATAAGGCTGTAGAGCTATAGGGCTATAGGGCTATAAGGCTATGGGGCTATCGGGCTATAGGGCTATACGGCTATTGGGCTATTGGGCTATAGGGCTATAGGGCTATAGGGCTATAAAATTATAGGGCTATTGGGCTATTGGGCTATATGCTATTGGGCTATTGGGCACCCCGGGCACCCGGGCACCCGGGCACCCGGGCACCCGGGCCCGGCCACCGAAATCGGCCACGCACCTCACCGGCCACCCGGGCACCGCCGGGCACCCGGGCACCCGGGCACCCGGGCCCGGCCACCGAAATCGGCGACCAACCTCACCTAAACCTTTAATCCGCTAGGACCCCTACAGAGGCAAGCTCTGATTGGGGAAAAACCTCCTCGGGCTCTTCTGGGGGGCCTCTTATAGCCCTCTTGGGCCGTCTTGGAGTCCTCTTGGGGGCGACCTGGGGCCTCTCGGGGGCCTCTGGAGCCCAAGAGTCTTGGGTGGCTCTTGGCCCGTCTGAGGCCTTCGGAGGCCGTCTTTGAGACCTCTCCAGGCCGTCTTGCTGCCCTCTTGGGAGCGTTTGATGGCCATTTTTGGGCCCTCTTGGGAGCCTGTTGGGCGATCTTGGGGTCCTCTTGGGCAGACTTCGGGCCCCTTTGGGAGCGCCTTAGGCTGTCTCAGAACTATCTTGGAGGCCTCTTGGGCCGTCTTGAGAGGTCGGAAACCCAAGCAGGCGAGAACCTTCAAGTTCTTCAACCATCTAGGGCCAATCCATGGTTTGGGGGGCCTCTTATCGCCCTCTTGGGCCGTCTTAGGGCCTCTTGGGCCGTCTTGAGGCTATCTTGAGAGCCTCTTGAGCCGTCTTGGGCCATCTTGAGCTGTTTTGATGTCATGTCTCTTGGAAGCCCTCTTGGAGGCCATCCTGGCCGTCTCGAGGTCAAAAAGAGCGCCAGAAAGCAATTTCGCAAAGAGCGATCTCAGGACGATGCGTGGGTCGAGGGGAGGGGGCGGCCGTATAAAACGCGCAGAAAGCCTCCTAGACAAGCAAGCATGACAGCATGACGGAAAGAGCGCTAGCGAGAGAAGATTTGCACAGGGCTTCAGCCCAAAGGGGGGGGCCAGGAGGGGATGCTGGCCGGGGGCAATTGTCTGACACGCCCTCCGGGGGCCATGTTGGCGGCTTTTTCGGCTCACGAGGTTCAAGATTGGCCAAAAGGACCCCAAGATGACCAAAGATGCCCCCCAAACTGCTGAAGATAGCTCCAAGACGGCCCGAGAGAGGCCCAAGAGGGCCCCAAGACGGCCCAAGAGCTCTCCACGAGGGGGCGACGATGGCCTCAAGACGGCCTCAGAGGCCCCCCAGACGCCCCCCAGACGCCATTGATTCTCCCTTGTGGTTGGAGGATTTGGGGGCCCTCGCTTTTTCGGGCCACAAGCGGTCAACGACGGCCCTGGAGGCCTCCAGGATCGCCCCGAAACGTCCCCAGAGGCTCCCAACAGGGCCTTATGAGCGCCTCAAGACGGTCCAAAAGAGCCCCAAGATGGCACAAGGAGGGCTCCACAGAGCCCCAAGCGGCTTCCAAGGGGGCCACAGGAGGCTCCCAAGAGGGCCCCAAGAGCGCCCCAAGCCAGCCTCAGCCCTTCAAGACGGTCCAAGAGGACCCCCGGACGGCCGAAGAGGGCCCCAAAACGGCCCAAGAGGGCGCGAAAACGGTCGAAAAGAGTCCCAAGAGGACCCCAAGAGGCCTTCAAGATGCTTCCCAGAGCCTTCAGAGGCCCCCAAAGATCTTCAACGACACACTTTCAGGAGCGAGCGGTGATACAAAAAGCTGATTAGGATCCCCAAGACCCCCCAGAGTTCGCAGAGACGTGCACTGCTTTGAACGTGAAAGTTCCCAAGAGCGCACAGTCACGTGAATACCTATCCACGCCAAGGCCGCGACGCTCTCCAGTGCTCGATTGCCTCCCAGTGCAAAAAGA